GTTTAGAGGATGGATGTGTCTGGGATGGTTTGGACAGGCAGAAGTCAGACTAGATGTGACCTCTGCAGGTCCTTTCCAGCCCCACATCTCTAAGACTCTATAAATCCACCATCTGATCTGGAGCTGGGCTGTTCTCAGTGGGGGCAAACGGCAGGACAAGGAGCAATGGGCTCAAGCTGCAGCAACAGAAGTTGAGGTTGGATATTAGGAAGAACTTTCTCACTAGGAGGGCGGTGAAGCACTGGACAAGGATCCCCAGAGAGGCGGTGCAGTCTCCATCCTTGGAGGTTTTGAAACCCCAGGCAGACGAAGCCGTGGCTGGGATGATGGAGTTGGGGCTGGTCCTGCTTGGAGAAGGGGTTGCACTAGAGGTGACCTCCTGAGCTCCCGTCCTGCCCTCGTTGTCTGTGATTCTCTGAATCTCCCAGTAAAACTACCATCGACCCTGCCCCAGCACCAGGCATTACACCTGCCCCTGCCCCAAGGAAAGCAGGGGGGCCCCGGCAGCCAACATCCTACTGCAGCAAAGGGTGTTAATATACTCTCGAGAGACCCCAGGCAGAGGCCGTGCCCCCACTGCAGAGGAAGGCAAAACCCCCCAGTCCAGACCAGCCTGACCAGGGGGAAATCCCTTCCTGCCCCCAGTACAGCATCGGTCTGAGTCTGAGCGGAGGGGTGAGACCCTCTAGCCAGGACCCTCTGGGTTTGGTCCTAACAGAAGCATTGACACAACGCACCAGCCTGGGCTGAAGCTAGCACCCAGTGCTGCTGTGGAAGGCTTTAAACAGGCTTTAAAAAAAAGAAAAAACACCCAAAAAACCCTGACATGGAACCACCAAATGTGACTGATGGTGTGTGGGCAGTGATGGGGCTTGATGTCAGCACTTCTAACAGAACAGAAATGCACTTTGGGTGTGTTTAACCCTGCACTATCCCTTGCTGTCGGCCAGTCTGATTGCCCAGCTGACAGTATGAATAAAGGCTATGCCAAGTTTATACTCACTAGCTGCTGCAGGCTTATCCAGACCACGCTGTAGGAAGACCTGACAGGTCCCTGGAGGCAACAGCACTGAGATGGCAGCACAACAGCCGTCAGTGGTGGGAGCTCACTGCGGAGAAACAAGGGGTCCCTTGGGATGAGCTGGACAGCTGCTGCAAGGAGCAATGGGGACTCTCTCACCATCTTCATAGCCACACAGGATGCCTCCAGGGGAGACAGGCTGCAGCCAAACCAGAGCTACAGGGCTCCACACGAGGGCAAGGAAATGATGCACAAGGGCCAGCGGGAGAGCAGCTGACAAGATGCCCTAGCCTTTCTGCACAAGTCTTCCGACTGCAATTCCAGCTCCAATGCTGGAGCTCTGGAGCAGGGAGCAAAGGGCTGGCAATCCTGGATAGATCTGCAAGTCACCCTGCCTGATGAACAACCTGGAAGAGGACTCTCCCCTCCCCACCCCTCCCCTCCCCAGCACATGGACTGGCAGCGCAAACAGCCTGCGCTCGAGGGGAGGGAAGGCAAGGCCGAGCCAGCAGTCTCCCGCCGTCCAGACAGTGCCAGGGCCCTGCTCCATGCTGCTGCTTTCAATGGGGCAGGTCAAAGGGGGGCAAGACAAAGGGGCCAGGGAAAAAGCAGGGCTGTGATGCCTCGCCCAGGGCCTTTTTATTTGAAAAGCAGATGCAGCGTTGCAGACCCTGGGCTTGGAAAATGCTTCCAGCCCGTGAGCAGCGCAGAGTCCCAGAGGAGATAACAGTGCAGGCATGGAGGCTGCCGGCTGGCTGGCATGTGACCCTGGCAGGCAGGCTGTGACTCTACGGCTCCTGGCCGCTGCTCCCGAGATAGTCCTGCAGGCCCCTGGCGAGGGACCCATCCAGCAGGAGGTTTGCCGGCTGTGGGCACAAAGTCAGGTACAGCGGGAAGGACCTGCAAGACATGGGGAAGTGGTCAGCCAGCAGCAGCGGGCACCAGCCACTGAGCACCATGGACCTGCCAGGTGCAGCACCCCCAACCCACAGCACCCAGCCCATGCAGAGGGGGGAGCTCCGGGCTCGGGGGTCACCTCTCGCTGCGCCCACCCCCTGCTTTCGTGCCCCACAGCCAGTGCCGCCGGCTACTTTCACCCCTTCCCTGCCCCTGCTGCCGTACGCACCTGCCCTGGTCCTCCTGCTGCCCCTCTGTTTGCCCAGAGTCTGCCTGGAGCTTCTGCCAGAGCGCGGCTGCTTCTTGCCTCCGGTCCAGCTTCCACAGGGTCTGCAGCAGGTGGGAGGCAGCTGCCAGGTCCCCTGCAAGGCATGGGGTGGGGGGCTCAGTTGAGCTGGGAACGAAAAGCTCTGGGTGCTCCACCTAGATTCGGGTGCTCTGGGACATCCGTCCCCCTGTATCCCAGGAAGGCAAGAGCAGCACCACGGGCTCCACGCAGTGTCCAGCCAGACCCACTCCCATGCCACAAAGCAGAGCTGGGGCTGGGCTGGAACTGGGGAGCAGCGGGGCATCAAGAACCAGCTGCCCTCACAACAACCCAGCAGACTCCATGGCGTGTCGGCAGCCTCAGGGGCTCCCCCCTGCAGACTGCTGCAGCCAGTGTTAGGCTCCCACCCACATCACCGGCAAGATGCGCTTCTCCAGGACGTCCCCAGCATCTGGAGCCTGAGACAGCCCAAATGGATAAAGCCCGGCCTCCCGGCATCCAGCACCTCCTGGGGGAGACTGTCTTCAGAGACTAACAGGAAAGTGCCCAAGGGCTGGGAGTGGACCAACTCCACCCCCACGGACCGGCCTTGTCCTAATGCTCGAGAGTGGCACGGGGATGAATGGGACCAAATGAAGCTGCCCCAGCCCAACTGCTGTAATGTTGAGCCTTATTCAGTGCCCAGGGCTGCGGGTTGCTCTGAAATGTGGACCTCCAAGACCTGGAGCTTTTCCCATTGCAGGGAACAAAGCAGCCTGGGCTGTGCCTGCAGAGACCCCAGCCTGAGCCCCCTGTACCTGGGGACACCTGCAAGGCGTACTGGAAGTTCATCAAGGCATCTCTGTCCCGTCCGAGCTCCAGGAACTGGGCGCCTCGCCCGACGAGAGCCAGGAGCCGGATCCTCTGGAGCACCGCTGCCTCCGGCAGGGCTCCTGCTGCCACCTCGCCGACGTGGAGGCCGTCTGGGGTAGAAAGAGCACCCGTGTGAGCTTAGACATGGCATCCCCTGGCTCCCCGCTTCCCCTGCCACCAAGGACGGGGCAAAAAGTGGGAAGGCCTGGGCCGTTCATCGTTCTGGTCCCCCTTCCCAAGCACTCAGCCTCTCTGCTGGCTTCCAGCTGTAGGAGGCTGCTGCTGGTGGGGGGGTTGCACACAGCACATAGTTCAACAGGAACCTTTTGCAGGCTTTGCTGAAGCACTGGTTGACACAAGCACTGAGTAGTGCACGTTCCGCTCCCAGACAGGCTTTGATAAAAGCGGGTTCAACACAAGGCTGACTCGCCCCCACCTGACAGGGGTCTTGGAAGTCAGGCTTTCGTGGGGAAGTGGGGCTGGGAGGGAGCTCCAGAGGTCGCATCTAGTCCAAGTCCTGCCTGAGGCAGGATCAGCCAGCCCGGACAAACCCATCATCGAACCTCTCAGTAAAACGACTGATAACCCAGACACAGCACCAGACATCACCCCTGACCCTGCCACAGGGAAAGCATAGGCATCGCTGCACCCAGATCAGCCCTGCCCAGTGTCTGTCCACCCTCTTCTCGACACCTCCAGTGATGGAGGGAGTCCACTGACCTCTGGCAAAGTTGGTTCAACAACCAGCATTGTTCCTCCTTTTTCTCTTCCCTCTGGTGCAGCTCTCTGTATAAGGGCCAGGGAAAGGTGTTTGTTGTCTGGGCTGCTGCTGTGGACAGCGTGCGCTTTCCTGCAGACCTCGACGTCACACAAAGCCTGACCACAGGCTCGGTTTGACGGCAGGGGCTCAGCCAGCTTTCTTACCTACAAAGGCTACATGGGGGGCAAGGAGAAAGGGATTTGGTGGTAGGGGTCTGCTACAGACCCCCACATCAAGGGGAAGAAAGAGATTCGGGGCTCCTGAGGCAGCTCTCGGAGACCATAAAAGCTAAAGAGGCGGTAGTCATGGGGGACCTAAACTACCCGGACATGTGCTGGGAGACGCAGACGGCAAGGTCCCACCGCTCACGCAGGTTCCTGTCCCGTGTGCAGGACCTCCACCTGACGCAGGAGGTACACGGTCCCACTAGGGGGAATGCCTTACTGGATCCGGTATTGGCAACGGGGGGCGACATGGTAGGGGACCTCCAGATCGGTAGCCATCTGGGGGACAGTGATCACCTAATAATAGAATTCACCATCAGACGTTGAGTGGGTAAGGTAACTAGCAGGGTGAAAGTGCTAGACTTTAGGAAAGCTGATTTCAATGACCTCAGGCGATTAGTCAAGGACGCACTGCAGAGTAGGAGTTTTGAAGTGATGGGAGCCCAAGAAGGGTGGCTGTGCCTTAAGGAAACGATCCTTCGGGCACAAAGAAAGACGATCCCCGAGTGAGGCAAAAGGGGGAAAGGGGCCAGGAGGCTTCCCTGGCTGACCACAGAAATCCAGGGCAGCCTAAGGGCCAAAAGTGGAGCACATAAAAAGTGGATACAGGGAGAGATCACCAAAGACGAATACACCTCCTCTGCTCGTGCTTGTAGGGAGGCAGTCAGACGGGCCAAAGCTGCCATGGAGCTGAGGATGGCAACCCAAG